TAATAATAGAAAATGTTAATTACTTGTGATGAATATGTTTCTTCTAATTCTAACATTTGGAAAAATTGATCGATATATTTTGATAAAACATTAATCGGTAAATCTGATTCAACCAACTATATTAAATATTTTATTTATTAATAAATTTGTTACCAAAGGTAAATTTAACCAAGTTTAATAAGTTTAATTAAAAAAAATTTTGAAATTACTTCTTCAAGATTTTCTTCAACTCTATCATTCTCTTGTCCAAACTTTCCTTCATTATTGCGCTTCATGGCCATAAAAGATTGACGATCTACAATTTTTAATTTTTTCAAAGTCAATCCATTCGATTCAGGGCAAACTTCTTTTCCTGCTGTGATTAATCTAATTTGTGATGATTTTGCTTCACCTATTCTAGAGGCAATTTTTTGTCGTAAAGCAAGAACTGTCTCAGATGGATGGACTTGAATTTCCAAACATCGATTTGTAATAGTAACTTTTACTGTAATCATCTCTCCATCGTTTAACATTCCATGTCTTCTTACATCAGTTTTATCTAATTGATAATTTGAATATTTAGTATCAAATATATCCATAAAAGATTTAAGTACTTCTAGACATCGTTTGAATTTTAAGGCATTAGTAGATTTATTATTCATTGTTGATGATTGAAGTGGAGACAATGATGGCGATAATGGTGTAGAAGAGCTAGATTCATCAATTAGTGTCATTGAAACATCATCATCCGATGTGGTGGGGAAAATAGTAACTTTGGATAAGCCATTGGCAGCAGCGAAAAGATGTTTAACGCATTTGTCAACTAATGCTTCACGATGTTGCCTGGCCAAATTAGCATAATTTTCCAATTTTTTATCCGTCTGCAAATTTTTTTTAATAATATATTGAATAAAACGATAAACGGTCCTAAAATTAAAAATAATATTTATTTTATTAATTTAAAAAAATCAAACTTACATTAAGATATAAATAAACCAAAAAGATTATGGCTTCATTTCCAACAGCTTCTTCTTCTGCACGAAGTGCAATATCCCAAATAAGATCAATTCCTGTAAGATCACCTTGTATTAGAATGCCAAGTTGAACTTGAGATGGTGGATTTGGTGAAGACTATTGTTATTGTTATTTTTATCATTATTGTTTTGATGATTATGATAATAATATTATTTAATAATAATTATCTTAATAGTAATAAAAATGATACATACAGAACGTAACCTTCCGTTTTTAGCATTAACTTTTAACAAACAGTTTTTAGCATATTTAAATGCTTGATCAGACATGAACCGAACATCCAATTCAGCGAAACGATTGTTAAAAAAATGCTCAGTGAAATAATCATATTCTAGTATATTGTCCAGGGAAGCAAATGCCTCGTCTTGTTCCTTTTTTCCTATTGCATTAGCTATCAAACAATTCCAAATTATGTCGGTTTGAGCCGTTGATGTAAAAAAGGGAACCTCAAAATTTGCTATCCATTGAATAAATTGTAGACGCGAAATTAGTTGATCACGTAATATGGACATTTTTGATGAAGGTAAATCTATCAATAACATATTATATGATGAGAAGGATGATGTTTTTTAGAAAAAAATGAACTTTCATCTAATTCAATTTTTTTTTTGTTAATCAAAAAAATCAAAAAAAAAAACCATTGATATAAATACCTAGATTTAAAACATTTGGTTTATCATTAAGTTTTCCTGCACATGCTCTCACAGTCTTTGACCAATGTTCCAAATCGTCCAAAAATAATTGCGGTAATCCCATACTTGATATTAAATGTTTAAGGTAATCATTTGTGGTCAACTCTTGGTTGGGAAATGGGGGTGCTAAAATCATCATCATCATCATAATCATTGTAGTCGTAGCAATTAACAAACAGCAAGTAGTTAACATTATTATTATATAGCGTCATGATCACATAATCACATCAATAAATTTCTATTTAATACTAACAAATAATTCTTGTTAAAAGCCTTAAAGCCCACATAGTTCCAGGATCATGTTTTCTTAAACATTCAATACACATTTCCAATAAAGTATTACGATCTTCTTGACTTGTATCGCCCTGTAATAAATTAGTTAGAACTTGACAAGCATTTTGAGCAATGTCCTGATCTATTATTGTTGAAGATAATGATGTTGTTGATGACGATACAGGAGAAAGAGTGTTTGCTGAAGCAGTAGTGGTGGGAGATGAAACTTCCGAGTTCATCAAAGCAGGGATTGAGATTGATGATTCACATAATAAACGCCATAATAATTGATGAGCTTTAAATGATACATGAGGAACAGTCTAAATATACATGTGAAAACGAAAATAAACAAATGTAAATATTAAAATTTTTATAATAGATTTTTTTTGTAAAATTATTACCGCAGTGCTTACTCTAGTACTTGACATAGTGGATTGAACCAAAGTTCTTATTAATAAATAAGTTTGAGTCTCTATGAAACTGGTAGGCATTTTCATCAATTTCTGAATTAGATAGTCTCGTTGTTCTTGATTTAAATGGTCGGAAATATCAATCAGTACTTGACAAACACCATGAACAATGCTTCGGTGTTGATTTCCATCAAAAGGTGCCCAAATAATATCTAATTCGTGTGATGTTAATGATTTAGTGTGTATCAAAAATGTTAAAATATCTGTAGAACGTTGAACTATTTCCAAATGAATATTAGAACCAAATATATATTCAAGAATTTGATGTTCGCGTAATTTCTCATTAAGGAAACTATAAAATATAATAATAATAATGACGATGACAATGATTTTATTGTAAACATTGATTTAATATAATCAATATACTTCTTAAATAAGAATATTAAGAAATAATAAATACCGATGAATTTTTTCAGAAGGATTTTCCTCCTCTAATGGAATATTATCATCTTCACCATCAATACTTAAACTTCTTTTACGTGAATTATTAGTTCTTCTTTTATATTTTTTCAAAAATTTGGCTTGTTTAAGACCTAATAAAAGAGCTTCTTTGATTTCATTTAGGCCAGTCAAACGTAAATCCAATCTTGAAGTTTTCAATAATCGAGCAGCTATATCAATTTTTAGTTGAGAACCTATAAGAATTTGTTGTTCATCAGATACCTCACGATACCGAATGTCAGTAACTTCGTCGTCATCTTCATCAGATGATAACATTTGATGATAATTTCTGTCATAATCTCTTATAGATCCAGCAATGGAAGAAGGTAAAGTGAGTATCATAGAGGTAACCATATGTACAATATTTGGAATTAATTTTTTATCTTGGCGTATTAGCCATTCTTCAGGAATATTACGAATATGATTTTGAACACATTGAGCGATCTTAAATACAAACTGTCTGAAATCCACATTGTTAGGGACGTAAGGACCAATCTAAATAGAATAAGTAAATGAAGTAATTAATATGATTAAATAGATTATTTATTCTCTTTGAAAAGAGGAACAATCCCAAAAAAACAAAAACAAAAACCTTGTGGACTATTCGGATTATTCCATGGAGATCTTTGAGATCGAGGTTATTGTAGTAGGAAAAGGAATTTCGTTGGGGATTTGCTTCATCGAAGTGACCAAGAGACCGTAGTATGACATCTAACCCACCGTGGCTGACGAAGGAATGTATGGCTTCGTATTGGTATTGTGATATTCGTTGATCCAACTTTTTAATATATATTTTGATATAGAAGCAATTCCATTAAAACTTTATCAGCACAAGTTATGAAAGATAAACCGCCTTTGCATTTTATAAAATCTTCATTTTTTGTCTTGAACCTGTTCCATTGCAATCACATCACTAGTACCGTCATCATATTCCACTATCTACATAACATTAATATAATATACGAGTAAGTATTAATTTTGATGATAATATTAATATCAATAATATGAATAATTAATTTACAAACCTCTTCATTTTCGCCAACAATTCCCATCATCACAGTGTTGACACCGACATCTAACCGCCGAGAATCGAATCTACTATCAAATCGACGATAAAATGGGGCATTTTCATCTCCTAGTATTCGATATATAGCATCTTGCATGATTTCTGACAAAGGAAATTCTTCGTGGTTAACGTTCATTTCTTCTGGTTTCCTAATGAGGTGAATGGCGATATCCAGGACTTTTATTAAAAACATAGAGATTATGTTAGCAATTGAATTTCCTTGTGTAGTGGTTATTGTGGAATAACTATAGTTATAGTTGTCATGATTAAGTATATTGTTTGATTGTTTGACAGATTAATGAACGAATGAATGAGAAAAAAATTTTAAAAAAATTAATAATAACAATTAATAAAAATAAAAATATTTCATTATATTTCTACATGATAGATAATCTATCAAGTACCTTCTATTTAAAAGTACCAATGCATATTTTGGAAACCATTCTCTGTATAAAGCATCAATTAGATGTTGATTAACTTCAGAGTCTTTATGACCCATTAAAATAATATCGATAGTTTTGGTCAAAGTTTCAACTGTTCTTGATGGATTTGGTACTAATTATAAAAAGTTATATAATTAATTAATCAATCATTAATAAATAATGATAAATAGAGAATATCCTCGCATAAATAATGAACAATTCATTATTTTTAAATTTACAAAACCTTCTTTGATATCAACTAAATATTTTTCAAAATCTAATGTTGAATTGTTATCTTTGGGAAATCGTCTTGAACTATTCTTCTTGTGGTTATTGGATAATGATAAGTTATTACATGGTTGTTGACCAGGTTCGCTATCATCATCAATTTCATCAGACCCATTATCATCATCATCTGATGAAGACATAGTTTGTCGGTTTTTATCATCATTATTACTTCGACTACGATTGGAAGAAGGTTGTTGATGTTGTTGCTGTCTTGATTTTTCAGAAGTCAATGCAATTCGTTTCTTAGGATGTTCGTAATCACCATCACCATCACCATCGGTATTTTCTTCATCTCTCTCCTCGTCCTCGTCGTCCTCTTCCTCTTACTCCAACGATGCCATTGTTTGTTATTCCACAAAGTAGTACATCTTACAATGAAGAATATGGATTAATGCATCAAACTGCATGTGTGCTTTGTGCATTAAAGAATAAACTTGCCAATCTAAAAAAATGGTATGAAGATTTTCAGCATAAGATACCTAAGATTACTGCAACAAGCTCATCACAACTTCATTTTCCATATATCAACTTCATAACCATTAAAGGTGAAACTTTTGAACTAACATATAACCAAGAACTGCCAAGTCATCATCTTGTATTTGAGGCAACTGCTCAAAATATTGCATCATCAAGAGATATCAAGGTTACTATCAAATTTACCAAAAAAGACTCAAGGGAATCTTGCAATTTATCTGAAAAAATTGAAAATGCACCTAAATTGGAGAATCATTTTGACTGGTACATGACAATTAAAGATTTTTCAGAAGCATGTTTTGAGCATAATATTAAAGTGCAAGCATAACCACAAATTACATACAAAAAGATAAAATAATTTCTTTTTTTTATCACAATAATCTTTATTGTAATGTGGATAATAGTAAGATTACTATAGTATTTGTTTATTCCTATGGTTGGGAATTTTTCTTGCTTTCAGCTTCATCATCAAATAATAAAATTATTATCAAAGCATTAATCAGACCAATTCTTTTTTCTGTTGTTGCTGTTTTCATATAATTAACATTGGAATAATCTCTGTTGTATATGAATGATTAGATTAAGGGTCATCAATACTCAATCTGAAATCATATAAAATCATGAATTCTGGCTCAGACCCAAAATCCCAGTATTGCAATTTGAATAGGAATGACAATTATATCTGAATTGGTATGTAAATTCTACTCCAAAATGAATGCAATCTTTTTCACCAGTTAAAGAATTTTATATATTGTGAGATAGTAAAATAAGGACCGATAGAGAGG